CCCGGCCGCCGCGGGTGCCCGCGCTGTCCTGATCGCCCCGCGTAACGGGCCTCCCGCCCCTCGCAGGATCCCCTGGTTCCAGTACCCCATCATCTACGACATTCGAGCCCGGCCACGGAAAATCTCCTCCCCCACCGGCTCCAAAGGTGAGAGCGGCCCCGCGGGCCGGAGCACGAGGCCCAGGCGGCGCCTGTGGGGGTGGGAGGGGGCAGGAGTCCGGCTGCGGCGCTGGCCCCGCTCACATCTTTCTCTCCTCTTCAGATTTGCAGATGGTGAACATTTCACTGCGTGTCCTCACACGCCCCAATGCTGCAGAGCTGCCCAGCATGTACCAGCGCCTGGGCCTGGACTATGAGGAGCGAGTCCTGCCTTCCATCGTTAATGAAGTGCTCAAGAGCGTGGTAGCCAAGTTTAACGCTTCACAGCTCATCACTCAGAGAGCCCAGGTGAACTTTACTGGAGGAGACTTACACTCGCATTGCAATGAAACTATGAGGAATGTTATAACAAAGGAAGCATAAATATATTCGGCTGGTAGATGGTGCATCCAAATGGAAGGGGAATGGAACTGTATCCCGCTTACAGTTTGATTCCGATACAGATACAAACGCTAAGGCTGTACCACTAGCTTCTGAGAAGAAAACTGGATTCATTGGTATATAGAGTGCAAAACTGCACCGTAATGTAATGATGGGGGAGGGAAAGCTGGTTTACATCATAGTCCACAAGTAACAGTAGAACTGGCTTTAAAAAAATGATTAGCTGGCCCTTCATGGGTCTCAGAAGAGCTGTCAGAGCAAATTAAACAGTTTTAAAGGATCTGAAAAGCGAAGTGGATGAGCAGTTAACAAAGCAGTAAACTTTCAGTAATGGGTGCTACAGAAGGGTAGCAAATACTTCTGTTTAGAAAAAGATCACAGAGTAATCTGGGCGGGTTGCAAAATAATAGAAATACTTAGCTTATAAAAGCCTATACCTGAAAGTTTGTGTTCTGATCATTTGATTGCCAGGGATTTTGAGAATATCTGTCACCTATCACAGCTGAGGGAGAGAAAAGTTGCTGATCTTCTTTTAAAAGACTTTAGAGGAGATCCTGTGCGAGACTGCTAAAGAGGATAAGTTGTCAGAAAAATGAAATACAAAGCATCTCTCAACTAGTTGTTGATCCATGACAAAAAAGCAAAGAGTAGAACTAAGCACCCAGGTCTTCTTGTGAGAACTGAACCATAGCAGGGACCTCAGGGTTTTGTGCTAGGCCACATGCTGTGCACTGAAGGGATTTCTTAATGATCTTGTATAAAGAGAATGAGTGGAAAGGGAGGATTTACAGCAAAGAAACAAATGTCTGCAAAGGATTTAGGTTTATCAGAAGCAAAGAACACTTGGGTATCTGCAATTTCTGAACAAACTGACTTGAATTTGCCGCCTTGTCATATATTCATCTAGCGTTGGTTACTGTGAAGTGATGCATATTGAAGCGGTTGATAATCAGAAGAAAATGAAGTGACTTTACGTAGTTACACGCTCACAGTTCACTCAGTAAAGGATTCTGGCATCATTTTGGAACTCTGCTCAGAAACAGCTGCAATAAAAGTAAAAGCAAATGCTAGACTGATCAAGGATGTGATACTGTAGCAATAATTTGTATTGTACTGTAGCACATAATAATGTGCGTTTGCAGCCCAGAAGGCCAATCGTATCCTGGGCTGCATCAAAAGAAGTGTGGTCAGTAGGTTGAGGGAGATGATTCTGCCCCTCTACTCTGCTCTGCTGAGACCTCACCTGGAGTACTGTGTCCAGCTCTGGAGCTCTCAGCATAAGAAAGACATGGCCCTGTTGGAGCAGGTCCAGAGAAGGGCCACGAAAATGATCAGGGGGATGGAACACCTCTCCTGTGAAGAAAGGCTGAGAGAGTTGGGGTTGTTCAGCCTAGAGAAGAGAAGGCTTCGGGGAGACCTT